TGCAAGTGTGCACCACCATGCCCAGCTAATTTTTCTATTTTTTGTAGAAATGGGGTCTTGCTCTTGCTTAGAACTCCTGGCCTCAAACAATCCTCCTGGTCTCAAATTCCTGACCTCAAACAATCCTCTTGCCTAGGCCTCTCAGAGTGCTAGGATTACAGGCATTAGCTATCACACCTGGCCCTAAAGTAAAACTTATTAAAATAAAGAATTCATCCACTTTATAAGTTCTAACTGCTTTTCCTGCAACCTGACTCTTAAAAATAAAAAGTTCATGATTTATGTTTAAGACCTTTGGACTCATTTGACAGCACCTGAAAATTCTTGGTTCTTCTGAGATGTGCTCATCACCAAAGATCATTCCTTGGTTTTATTTTATGCTTTCGGTTATTGTTGTCTTGAATGTGACTAGCTACACTAAGGCCACCAAAGATGTTTTTACTAAATAATCATAACTTTGCAACATCTAATAGATAAACACTTTATCTGAGTTGCAAATTGAACTTTGAGCATTATTGTGATTATTGTGATCTGTTGATCAGTCAGAATATTCTGATACATGTCACCCATGATGATATTGCTCCTTTCTCTGTGTGTCAGATCTTCCTTGCTTCCAGGATACCTATTATTACTTTGTAATATGATTTTTCAAAAAATAAGAAATATAACTTTTTGCTCCAATTACACAAAACATGATCAACACAGAAAACTTTTATTTATTTATTTTTTTAATTGTTGTTTTTTTTTTTTTTTTTTTATTTTTGAAGCTGGGACTACAGGCATGCGCCACCATGCCCAGCTAATTTTTTCTATATGTATTAGTTGGCCAATTAATTTCTTTGTATTTATAGTAGAGACGAGGTCTCGCTCTTGCTCAGGCTGGTTTCGAACTCCTGACCTTGAGCAATCCGCCCGTCTCGGCCTCCCAGAGAGCTAGGATTACAGGCGTGAGCCACCGCGCCCGGCCAACACAGAAAACTTTGAAACTATAGATGATAAACCAAAATCATCCATAAGCCTAAATATAAATACTATTAACATTGAATGTATATAATTCTAATTTTTTAAAAACTGTTACTTAGGTATAATTAACATGCAATAAATTACACATATTTTTTTCTCACTTTAAATCAAGAGCTACACATTTTACATGTTTAAAATTACAATTTGATAAGTTTTGACATATGTATATAACCAGGAAACATTACCATAATCCAAATACTGATCAAATAAATTCATCCCCCTAAAAAGCATACTTGCGCCCCTTTATAATGCCTCGTGATTCCTCCATTGCCTGGGAATCACTGATTTGCTTCATAGATTTGTTTGGACTTCTAGAATTTTATACAAATGGAATCATACAACATAATACAATTTTGGGGGGGCTTTTATCTTCAGCATAATTATTTTGAGGTTTTTTTTCACCTTGCATGTCTCAACAATTTATTCCTTTTTTTTCTGAATAGTATTCAGAACAGCTCTTTATGATCATATCTATCCTTTGTTTAGCTCCCACTTATAAGTGAGAACACGTGGTATTTGTTTTTCCATTCCTGAGATACTTCATTTAGGATAATGGTTTCTAGTTCCATCCAAGTGGCTGCAAAAGACATTGTTTCATTCCTTTTTATGGCTGAGTAGTATTCCATGGTGTGTGTTTGTGGGGTGATTATAGTGAATAAAATGAAGTGTCATGGGAAAGTACCTGAGGCTTTACTCATTAGGGTATGGTAAGTATTGGGTTACTTTTCTCTTTTATTTCTTCAGTGGGGGCTCTAGGTCCATCAGGTAATTTGAGTGTAGAGCCAGGAGCCCATTCATAGCCACCAATTCAACACTGCGTTCTGCTGTCCAGGATGTCCACACAAGAGAGAGAACTTTGCAGGTGTGGACAGAGCTTAAATATCCTCCATTCCTGTTCTCATTGGCTGAGGGACTGCACAAGGTACTTTACGTATAATCCTGATAATAACCATACTTGATAGGTATTATTATCTCCCTTGTGAAAATAAGGAAACTTAGGCCTTGTCCAAGGACACTGATAAAGGACAGGATGAAAAGTTACAACTAGGTCTGTCTGGCTTCAAAGGCCTTTTTCTTTCCATTATATTATATTGCCTCTCAGGATACTAAGAAAAAACACCACTAATTTTGAAGGATTTATTATCATGGAATCTGAACTATGCTTAATTTTCTGAAATTTTAATTTTAATATGTTATATATCTGACAAATTTGATTCTGTGAAGGGTGAAAAATAATTTAGGTTACTCTAATAAAGTTATTTTAAAAACCTTGAATATGGGTGGGTAAATATAGAATACTTTTTTTAAAAAACAAATACTGCTTAGGAATTGGGTCAGGAATTTAGCCCCACATGAACCAGATGTTTTATTTTTACAAAGAAAAGGAAATCATAGAATATAGGATCAAGCTCTTTGGTATTGTTTTTACATCAGTTTATTATTATGTGGACTCCTGGAAGGTAGTATCTTGTGCCTGAAAACATTGAAGTTGGGGATTTCTCTCATGCACGAGGCCATGTTTATATTAGGTTATGCATGGCGGTTTGGCAGTTTGTTTTGCAGATGTTCGTAATGTAGTCTTAAATCTTGTTTCTATTTCTGGCGTGCTTTTAAGTGTGACTCATGTTTTCTTGAAATAAGGAGGAGTAGGCTGCGTATCATAAAGATGCATTTAAGCCTAAAGCAGAAAAGAAAATAGTTAAAAGACATCTGGTAGTCATAAATGAGGTTAACTCTCCAGGCTCAGGTCAGTTACATCGTAGCCTAATGAAACTACTTGATTCCTCAAAAGTGTAGGTCTTAAAGCAGTAATTTTCAATCTGTTTTTCATTATTGCTCTTCTAAGGACACTTTCCTGCTGTAATTATTCCTTCCTAACCCCATGAAATTTTAATATCACATATATATTATATTTTATAATAATAATTTTTTTAAGAGACAGGGCCTTGCTCTGTCATCCAGGCTTGAGTGCAGTGGTGTGATCATAACTCACTGTAACCTCAAACTCCTGGGTTGAAGCACTCCTCCCCCCCTTAGCCTCTCAAGTACCTGAGACTACAGGTGTCCACAACCATGGCCAGCTAATTTTTAAAATTTTTTGTGGAGATGGGGGTCTCACTGTGTTGCCCAGGCTTGTCTTGAACTCCTGGCCTCAAGTGATCTTCCTGCTTTAACTTCCCAAAGTGCTTGGATTTACAGGCTTGAGCTACCACACCCAGCCTACAGCTATATTGTATATATCTGTTATGTACTGAATCCTTTTCGAAGACCACAAATTATTATAATATCTAAAAATTTTTCTCAAGCTTCCCTCTCCAGGAGCCTCTTTTTTGCCTCCTTGGTGTAATATGCCCCCAAGCAAGATTTAGAGGATTCATAAGAACAGGGGAGAAGCCAAGCAATTCCACTTGGGTAATAAGTCTCTTGATTTTCAGACATATAGGCATTCGCTTTGAGAAAATTATAATATTTTTTAGTGTGATTCCAGTGACATGGTAAACCAACCAGTCTGCCCAAAGCCTTGTCCCTGATCTTCTCACTAGGATAATGAAAATCAAAAAATTATCTTTTCCAGTGATTAGATGTTAGCTTACTTTGAGGAAGTAACTACCCTAGCAATATAGTGCTATTAAAGGAGGGTAAAAAAAGGACAGCTTTAGTCCTAGGCAAACTTTCTTAGTTAAATCTCTGAACTCTTTCATGACCTCATGGGACAATTAAAGTTTAGAAAGTATGGAATATTCAGTATATACAAAAACTTTATGTAATATATGTATCTGTATATATACAAAATGCATCAAAATGCAACAGTGTAACCCACACCCAATTTAAGAAGTAGAATATTACCAATATTTTCAGAGCTAGTCATTGAGAATGTCTTTGATTCCATGCCAACCCCCTTATCTCCAGGCATCCAATTCTTATGAATTTATCATTCCTTTGCTTTTTTTCAAGTACTGTTTTATCACATATATATGTATTTCTAAAGAATTTGTTTGCTAGTTTACTGAGATTTATTAAAATATTATCATGTGATTTATTCTGTGACTTAATTTTTCACTTAATATTATACCTTTAAGGGTTAAGCATATTGTTGGGTTCTTTCTGGTTTTTTTTTTTGGTTGCTGTATAATATTCCATTGTGTGTGTTTTATCCATTCACCTCTTTCTAGTTTTATTGTGAATAATTCTGCTCCAAGTATTCTGTATGTCTACTGATGTATAAGGTTAAGAGTTTTTCTTGTATACCTACAGCTGGACTTGCTGGGTCATTTGGTGCTTTAAATATGGGGAAACACAAGTTAATTTAAACATTTTAGAAAATGCTTAGGTAGAAGATGAGCACATTGATAGGTGATTTAATAGTAGGAAAGGCATTGTATGGTGTAGTCTTCTATTCCCAAATGAGTTTGTATAGAAGAATCAACTTAAATTCTAAATTCTAAAGAAGTAGTTTCAAGTCTACATCAGACTTTCTAACTGTGAAGTTTGGGAGATCTTACAACCCATGCCAGCTTAAGTTATAATATACTTTTCTCAAATTTTGCAAGACTAATAATCATAAATTGGGATGATTTGGTCACATCTCCTTTTTGGAACAAAAAAGGATTAGGCTAAAAAATTATGATAAAGTAAGATATCAATTCCTCAACTCATCCTTGAAAATCACTTTCACTTCTTTAGGAATTACTTATTGGTGATTGCTCAAATGTTCTTATAACCTTTCAAGTGTAGAATATGTAATTCTTTTGATATCATAAGCTTTGTCTTGTTTTAATGTTGGTAATAGTGGTTTTATTGTAATGTAGTATGAAAAGTCAGTAGTTATCTGTATGTCTCTTTTTATATATATGTCTAGAAATAAATACACGTGTGTATATATTATATGTATGTATTTAAACATACTGTCTGCATTACTTGGAGATTAATAAGTAATAGTCTAATTTGTTTTTCATTGTCTCTTTTTTTTCTTTAAGTTTCAGACTTTCTGGCTCAATCTGTAGTTCAGCATCTAAGATGGATAATGCAGAAGGACCTTTTGGGGCAAGATGTTTTCCTGATAGGACCTCCTGGGCCTCTTCGACGCTCTATTGCTATGCAGTACTTGGTGAGCGATCAGTTCTTGTCAATTCCTAAGGGTCTTAACTTTCATAAGCTATGATATAAAATAAATTAAGATTAAGAATTTATAAAGATATCAGGATTAGTCATTAGTTGAAAAAAATGCTAACATCAAAAAGGTGATTCGTTTATAAAGGATTTAGCATAAGTTATTTGGGAAGAAAATATACCTTTGCCTTTTATAACATTAGCAAATTTTTGCTGTAACTAGGAGTCTTCCATTTCGAGTAGAAAAGAAATATAATTTCAGGCAATGAGTAGAGGATAAAATCAGCAACTCTGAAATTACAAAACAAAACTTGGTTTTATACTATTCAGAAAACATTCCATTATCCCAGGTTCACATTTTAAAAAGCCAAACAATCCCCTTGATGTTTTGAAGTTATGTAGTCTTTAAAGAGAGCCTAAGGTTTGTAGGCCATCTTTTATATGTTACTTTCTCTCCTTTTTTTTTTTCTTTAAATAGATGAGCAAACAGGTTCACAGAGGTTAAGTAACTCACTCAAGCTTTATCCACCTAGTAAATAATGGAACTGGCTTCAAATTCCACATTTTTTCCCATTTCTGACATGTTATTCTCCTAAATGTTTGCAGTTTTTTGAGAACTGTTAAGTGAATTGAAGTGTTTAAATCTCAACCCAAATAAGGAAATTTACAAGACTTTTCTAATATTTTATTAGCGATAATAGGCATTGCTCTAAAGATTCAAGGAAGAATGGCATCAGATGAAGTTGTGTTCTGAAGATACTTTTTAGGATGAGGAGAAAAACCTTAATAAACCTTTCTTATGTTATTTTTTATTAAAGGATTGATCTCTGTGCTATTGACATCTACTTTGTATATTCTTATTTTAGTGGTGAATGTACTTTGGCACTTCAAAAATCATGTGGCGCAGGAATAATAAAAGTACAGTGGACAAATCAGAACCTAACTCCCGCTAGCCCCATTGCTTTCATATCTTTTATTTCTCACTAGAACCAGTTTGTGAGGTAAAACATGCCATTGTAGTATCATTTTCACTTTACTATTAGATATAGCAACAGTCTCTGATCTAAGAATGCTGGGTGAGCTTCTGAGAATTCCAGGTCTAGAACCTCTTTAATTTTAAGATGCTCATTCTTTACTTTGCTCATTTCAAAGACCATAATATCTCACTGAGATTTTGTTTCTCGCAAGGCTTTTAAGTTCGTTGGGAATGTGAAATGAGAGGAACTAGGAGATTGTAGGAGACTTGTTGGTTCAAAAATGCAACGCAAGTGTGAAGCCTATATCTTTTTTAAAAAAACCGAACCACACACCAAACTTTAAATTATGGAATAGAGCTGAGGCAGCCATAGGCTGTGGAAATACACACAAGAAAACTCAATACTAGCCTGATGTGCCTTGCAACCTCTGCAATGAGGACTATTATTGCCACTAGATCTAAGAACCATAGCCAGAGTAGATGAGATCTTTAAAAGCAGAAATTTGAGGGCAACCTGCTGAACCAATGGGAAATTAAATAGAAATAATTTGATAGTTGTATTTACTTTATATTTAACTCACATAAAAGGAGCTTTTTTTTTCCTTCTGAGACAGAGTCTCGCTCTGTCACTCTGGCTAGAGTGCAGTGACATCATCATCATAGCTCACTGCAACCTCAGTCTCCTGGGCTCAAGCCATCCTCCTGCCTCAGCCTCCCAAGTAGCTGGGACTACAGGCACATGCCACTATACCTGGCTAATTTTTTCTATTCTTAGTAGAAACAGGATCTTGCTCTTGCTCAGACTCATCTCAAACTCCTGAGCTCAATTGATCCTCCCACCTCGGCCTCCCAGAGTGCTAGGATTAGGAGTGTGAGCCACCATGCCTGGCCATTTTTTGTAGATTGTTCCCAAAGACAGACCACTACTGCCTCCCCCAGCTGCTGCTCATGGTGCTGTTGTGAAGCTCCTACCGCTTCTGTGAAGCAGCACCTGGGGAGACTTCAGTGCCTGTTGTGGCTGATGAGTCCGAGGGAACTGTTGAGACTGAGGATAAGAGTGCATTATCCTCAGCGTAGCAGTTCAGGGTGTAACTGTTCTGCAGTTTAACAATAAGAGACATACATAGCTTTGCCAACCAATGGAAGCCTATTGTGAATGGCAGTGTTTTTCAGTGAAGGAGATCACATTCAGCCAATAAATGAAGCAGACATGAAGGTACTAGTGCTATATTCCAGAAACAACAAGTAGGTATCTACTAACAAGAGAAACAGCTACTTTACGCCAAACTTGTGCTTTCTCGGACAATTCATTGTCATTTAGGAAAACATCTTTTGGTATCGCCACATCTTCACCACTATGCTGTGTGTTAAATAGAGCATTTTTTACTCCTTTCCATACATACTGAAAGTTATGACAGCATGGGAGCAAATACATTTTACAAAAACTAAATGACAGCAATTGTGCAGGGCTGTCCAGAAAGTATCCAACCATGTAACCATTCTCATTATATTAACGGTGGCTGGATACTTTCTGGACAGTCCTTTTATATTTTTACCAACATCAAATGAAGATAGAGTGGAGAAAAAAATCCTCTTGTGTGGCAATATCCTCTTCTGCCATTAATGGCATATTCATTCAACTTTTTGCTTTATATGCTAGTAATTTAATCTGTTTTCCCTGTTTAGTAAAAATTTATTGTATGCCTTATTTGATTGAAGAATGTCATTGTTTTTAATTCAGTATTGTAGAACCAAGGATAATGTTAAAAACTTTTTGAATATTGTGGTTACATGTAAGGGAAAATGACTTTAAGGATGGATAAATTGTTAAGAAAAAATGAGTTCCAGATGGTTTCCCTTTCAAATCTCATGATTGTTTTTGGTGAAATAAAATTTTCTCTCCTCCTTCTCCCTTTTCTTCTTTCTTCTCTTCCTCCCACCACCTCCTCCGTCTCCTCCATCTCCTTCTTTTCCTTCTCTTTTTTCAACTACGCACATGTCCCTTTCTTCTGTTGACCTGACTATTGGTATTTTTACCTTATTCTCATACTTGGTGAAGTCCCTCACATATTGTATATATTCTGTAAACATTGGTCAGTGGAATTAATTAAAGTCATCCTTTTAAAAAAAATGAACATTACTTATAGAAATGGCTATAGATTGTGGGAAAATCAATAAGTAATATTGCCAAATTATTGCTCATGGTATTTGAAAAGAATTCCACAGAAGAAATGAAGGTTTGTGAGATCTAATTTTGATTATTATTGCTTAAGTCAGATTGAGTGTGGTTGAAGTGGAGCTCTGAGGAAATATATACATGTTTTGGTTAAACATGTATATATTGCATTTTTCTCAAAGCTGATAGTCAAAAGATTTTAATGCAGAATTACATTTAAAATGCTCTTCTCTAGGGCAGTGGCACTCTCAGGTAACTTGCTCCAAATCACATGCTGGGAATTTGATTTTATTTTTGGAATAATTTCATTCTCTACAGGAGCTGACCAAACGGGAGGTTGAATACATTGCCCTGTCAAGGGATACCACTGAAACTGATCTCAAACAGCGACGAGAGATCCGTGCAGGCACGGCTTTTTACATTGATCAGGCAAGTTCTTATCGCACTCCAGCCCGTGACTATTTACTCCAGGTCTATACAAAATTGATTTTTAAAGTAGAAAGAGAGTAGCTCATAAAAAGATAGATGTACTGTGCTCTCTCCAGAAAGATTTAATTTAGATGTTTGGTTTCTCTGTTCTTGGAAATGTCTTCTTGGCTTAGTACTAAAATGAGAAACCCTAGATGAAATTAATGGTTCTAAAATGTTAGCTAAAGATCAATATGCTGATTTCTCAGTTTTCAATTACTTCCTACTATTTGCCTATAGAAATCTGATTTTTTTTAAAAAGAATTAAAGGACGTTTTAATATGGGAAATTCTCTAGCACATTTATTGAAGTATTTGAAATCTATAGGTCACTTGGGTAAAGGTGTATTAAATGTAGTGAAATTAAATATATACTGCCAGGAACTACAGCTTTTTTCTGGCAGTATTACCAGAAACTGCCTTAGGTGTTGGGTGCAGATTGCCAACTAAAATAATATTTTATGAATGTTATAATGAGATTTGTTATACATTTCTTCAAGTACATCACTTAAAAGTATTAACTATTGTTCTTAGGAATACCTTACAGAAGAAAGGATGAAGACTATAAATAAGTATGTCATAGAGAAAAGATTTCAAATATCCAAAAAAATTCATGGAAAGATGCTTGACCTTCTTATTTACAAAAATAAAAATTAAAACACTTGTGAGGTGCTATTTTTCCTTCACCTCTCAGATTGGCAAACATTAAAGAATTTGCTAATGTTTCAGTGTCGATGAGGAAGAAGGGATGAGGAAACAGCACTGCTGTAGATGGAAGCAGAAATCGAAGCAATCTGAAAAGGAAATTTGGCAATATCTATCAAAACAAAAGAAATTACACATACATTGGCACCCAGTAATTACATTTTTAGCAAATTTTTCCAAGTATATGCATACAAAACACACAAGATTATATGTACAAGGATATTTATTATAGCATTGTTTGAAATTGTATGAAACTGTCAATGGGAACAATAATGATGTACATTTAAGAGACTAATAAAATAAATAATGGTGAGTAGAATATTCTGTAGCCGTTAAAAAGAATGAGATGAATATGTTTGCGCTGATAGGAAAGAAGTACAGGATATAGTAAGGGAAAAAAATGAAGTTGCAAGACAGTGTATATAACATGATCTCATGCGTGATAAAAAGAAGAGAAGAAATGCATATATGTTTGTATAGATGTTGTTGTAAACTTCCAGAACAATGTGCTGGAAGATGTCGTACTAACGACGTCTCTTTAATAAGAGGCAGTTAGCAGAGTATACATAAACTATGTTACAGAAATGTGACTCAGGGTCTGTAATGGGATGTGGGAGGGACTTTTCATAGTTCTTTAAATTTGAAGATTTACTAGGGGTACACTATTACTTTATAATTAAAAGAGTATATTTGTAAAAAAAAAAAAAAAACCAAAAACACTGAGTAGAAGGTTTTGGAGGGACAGGAGAGTCACATGGTCTCATGAATTACTTGTCAATATCAAAAGAAAAAATGCACTTAAAATGGAGAGATTTGGCAGTCACCACCTTTTAAATAATGTTGATCAGACTTAGCATCATCTAGCGGGAAAATCTGAGAAGCTCAGATTTCCCACAATTGAAAAGTAATCCTTTGTAGACAAAGCACACACACACACACAAATACATTTTAAAGGAATCTGTTAATATTTTATTTACATGATGATTCACTTTATAGATTACTTCTGATTACAAAGGGGGGGAAATATACCTTTACAATAGAGAGATCAGGCATTTGTTTCCTTAACCAGTTCATGCAACAGAATCACCAATAGTGAGAGGAGCTTATATGATGCGATCCTGATATGATTTAATAAGAGCTATATAGCACTACCAATATAGTATTCTTGCCAAAAATGTTTAACAATTGGACCAATCTAGAATATAAGACAACACCTTACACTCTTCATAAAATTCAATGTCATGAAAACCAAAACACGTAATAATAGTTCTAGATTAAAAGGTTGGAGAGTTTCTTAGTTTCTTTATTGGACTGTATAGATAGCCATTTTTGTTGTTTGTCTTATCTTTTACATTCAAAGTTTTTAGGCTGGGTGTGGTGGCTCACACCTGTAATCCTAGCACTCTGGGAGGCCAATGCTGGAGGATGACTGGAGGTCAGGAGTTTGAAATCAGCCTCAGCAAGAGTAAGACCCCATCTCTACTAAAAAATAGAAAGAAATTAGCTGGGCGACTAAAAAAAAATAGAAAGCAATTAGCCAGACGTGGTGGCACATGCCTGTAGTCCCAGCTATTAGGGAGGCTGAGGCAGGAGGATTGCTTGAACCCAGGAGTTTGAGGTTGCTGTGAGCTAGGCTGACACCATGGCACTCTAGCCTGGGCAACAGAGTGAGACTCTGTCTCAAAAAAATAAAAAAACAAAAAACGAAATCCCTGAAGTTTTTAATATTAAATTATAAGTTATAATTTTAAGATAGTTAATAGTCAAGTTTTAAAACAAATGATAGTTATCAGACATTTTTATCATATAATTTTATTGGGGAATTCTTAAAGAGCTGTTTGTACTCACATATATTACCTATAAATATCAATAGGTAACATTTACTACTGGTAATTTTCTGACTTTCCAGTCCTAGAGTGGAAAATTCTCTCTTACAGCAAAGAGATTCTTGCATTCATTATTTTAAACATCTTAAAAACTCCTGCCATGTTTTCTTTGTGTATAAGTGCCTCTTGAAATATGAACTTGGATTTTTATTTCTGGTCTATTGACTTTGATTCTCAATTTAGTGACAAGTATTCCAAACCTAGTGATCCACATATTAGCCACATGATGAAAATATATTTATATTCAAAAGATTATATTTATTTTTACAGTCAACAACCTGCATTTTTTACTAGGTAAGAAAGGTAACAGGTTAGTCCTAATTTCTTTCTCAAGTTGGTTATCTCTGACAAAGGGCAGGTAGATATTAATTCACAGGATCATTTTCACTGAACTTCTTTGTAAGCTGTTTGGAATAGTCACTTGATCAAGCATGTTTAATTTTTAAAATTTCATATTGGGTTAGTTTTCTAAAACATATGATCTAATAATCCCTGAATTTTTGATATATTCAAAATTTAATATTTAGGCTGCTCGACAGAAAATCTGGAATGTTATGTTTAATACAAATGTTAAAATTTAAAATTCTGGATTTTTTTTAAGCATGCCACTTTTTAATTGCTTAAATTTCTGTTCCCATGTTATTTAGATATACACAGAGGCTGTGTATGCCCCACAACTCCCCAGCTAACAAAGTTTTTAAAGAAATTTGCCTGTTTCTTCTCCTCACCCAAAGAGGGTAAGAGTGAGGGAAGGGATTTGAGTTGGGTTAGTGACGAGCTGCGTAAAGGGAATAGAAATTGACACGATGGCCTAAGTAGAGGTGAGGAGATAGGAAGATATTTAAATGACAGTAAAAGAACTGGCTTTGTTTAGTAGAATATAGATTTTTTTAAATTTATTTTTTATTTTAGCATATTATGGGGGTACAAGTGTTAAGGTTACTTATATTGCCCATGCCCTCCTCCCCCCTCGAGTAAGAGCTTCAAGCATGTCCATCCCCCAAATGTTGCACATCTTTAGAATATAGATTTTAAAAGATATTTTTAAAATGAATGTTATAGCTGATTTGATTGCTGTAATACAAATACGAAGAGAAAGTGGATTTTTTAATGTTTTTATTAAAGACATAATTTTAAAGACAGTTTAAAACTTTGGCTTTTTAGAAATTGAGTTCTTTTAGGTAACTAAATTTATTGATTAGCTAAAAATTTTTTTTCTTGGAGCATTAAGGTAAATTATTTAGATGAAATTTTCTAAAATGATATATTCCTTTTGCCATCCTAAAAAGCATATTTTCAGATGATATATATTTTACAACTTATACCATTTAAAAAATATTTTGTGTCATATAAATGTATGGGAATATTTTATACTTTACATTTTCTTGGTGAAGCCTACTCATTATGATGAACACTATTTACTGTACTGTAGTACCGCTGATACCTTCAGAGCCTGTGATTGAGGTAGAATGTTGTGTAGAAATGTTGATCCTTTCTCTAAATTGTTTCAGACTATTTTTTGAGGTTTTCTCTGATTACCATAGTTTTTCTTCCAGCTTATTTCCTGGCAGTTAATATTCCCTACTGTATAGTTCATAATCAGAGCCTATCCATTCCTTAAGCCATGCAAAAACTTCCCATCATACCTGTCATCTCCTCTCATTCTATTCCCCTTGTCTTCTAGGCTCCAGCTACAGTGGCTTTCCTTTGTACTTGATATTTCCTCTTCTTCATATATATGATCTCCCAGTATATTATACTCTTGCCTTCTCATAATTCAGGTTATAAATTCGTTGGATATGTTAGCTAAAGTAGCCTCTAGTTGTGCTGATTTTCTTTCCACATATACTGTGCTGCACCATGCTGTCATATTACACAATATAATCTGCAGAGCACTTATCGCTATTTGAATTTACCTACTTATTTCTTTGCTCACGTTTATTGTCTCTCTTCCCCACTGGGATACAACTATCTTACTCATTTCTGAGCACCAAAAAACTGTCTGGAACATAATTGACAGATATGTTTGATGGTAAATTTCCCCTTTAGATAATTAACTTTGTTAAAATTTTAAGTAAATTGAGAATAAATAGGGTTTGGATGAGACCAGGTAGCTTTTCCTTTTTTTTCCATGGATATATGCCTATTTGACATCTGTTATGAGGCATCAGAATGTATAATACCTATTTGAATTCTAGATAGATGAAGTTGCCAATTGATTACCAGCTAGTCATATGTTTATTAGACTGAAAGGGCTTTACATTTATTTTATTTAAAAATTCCTTCACTGAATTTGATATTTGGGCTCAAGGAAGAGACACTGTCTTTATTTACCATCAGATGATACCTGTAACCTAGGTGGGCCAACATA